TTTCACGAATAGAACTGGAGTTCCCCATGGTGAAGTACTATGTCGGATAAATCCTCGATCGAATAATTCTTGCAATTGTACTTTCAACTCCTTAAGTTCCTTTGGAGCCATACGATAAGGTGCCATAGAAATAGGTGAAGATCCCAGATAAGTCTCAATCTCGAACTATACCTCTCTATCAGGAGGTAACCCAGGCAACTCCTCCGGAAAAACATTAGGAAACTCGCTAACTGTACGAATCTCCTCGATCGTGGACAATGCACCTTTGGTGTTCAAAATACAAGCAATGAAGGTCTCATATCCCTTCCGGATCATACGATCAATTTCCATCGCTGAAACTATATTGGAGAGATAACCACGCCGTTCACCAATTAACACAACAGTCCGACCATCTGAAGTCTTCAGAGTAGCCCGCTTGTATTCGCAATCCAGCTTTACCTTGTGTTTATTCAACCAATCCATTCCAAGAATTAGATCAAACTCCCCTAAAGGAAGTTCCATAAGATCAACGAGAAAAATTTCTCCCTGAACCTCGAGAGGACAACGCCGAAATACTTTATTCACTAATACTGCTTGTCCTACTGGACTTGTAACTGTAACAGTATTTTCAGTGTTCTCGATCAGAATCTGAAGGTTTCGAGATACTGAGCTCGATACATAGGAGTGAGTGGAGCCATTGTCCAATAATGCAAAGTATGGGGTAGAATAAATAGTAAATGTACCTGCAATAACCTCAGGCTCATCTCTGTCATCACGACGTCTAGTTGCATAAACCAAAGCTGGCTGTCTAGCCTCAGAAGCTGTTGGCCCTCTATTTTGCTGAGGTCGGGCTCTACTGTCTGTCTTGGACGCTAATCCTTGAGTCTTTCCTTGACTACGATCTCTAATTGGGGTCTGTACTATAGTCTGCGAACGCACAGGAGTTTGGGTAGTGGTCTGCTCAAACGAAACTAGCTGAGGACAATCCCTCCGATAATGACCACTAGATCCAAACTGATAGCAAAGACCCATCTTCTTACGACACTCTCCTGAGTGCTGTTTACCATAATACTCACAAAGGGGCCCATTATAATACGACGAGTAACCGCCTCGACTGCTAACTAACGGTGAGGATGCTGCAGGTCTGAAACGTGTATTGCTTCTCTGAGGGGCTGAAGTACGAGTCCTCTTCCCGGACTATACTGATGACTCCATCGGGCCTGAAAATTTTTTAGATCGTTCCTGATCAACACGCTCTCTACCAGAAGCTAAAACCTCCACCTCTTCAGCATCTTTGGCTTTGCCCACCAGCACATCAAATATTTCATCCTGATGGGTTACAACTTGCCTACGCAGCTTGTATCTGAGTCCAAGGGCAAATTTACGACATCGATCTCTCTCAGTAGGTACCATACTGAATCCATACTTCAGTAACTTCAAGAACTCGATCTCATACTCAGAAACAGTCATGTCTCCCTGAACCAAGTCTTGAAACTGTTGTCGTCTCTGAGCTAAGTAGCGCTCTCCCAGAAAACGACTCCGAAAGCGATCCTTAAAGAAATTCCAGGTCAAACGATCGGTAGGAACACTACTGATCACTGACTCCCACCAAGTGTAGGCATTACCATCTAACATTGCTACAGCACCCAGATATCTCTTAGTTGAGTCCAAACCCAACTGATCCATTCGTCTCTCTGTATCCTGGAGCCAATCCTCAGCTTCAGTAGGAGCTCCACCAATCTGTCCCCCAAAAGTTCTAACTCCATTGGCAATCAACGTCTGTGAAATAGGAACCTCAAATACAACACCAGTAGCTCTAACTGCTCCCTGTATTAACTACAGAAATTGTCTACTAAAATTCTCATCCAATGCAACTCCAGTAGACTCTGACTCAATATCGGTCGCTCCTATGATCGGTGCAGTCATGCCAATACCATCGGTAGGTGGCATATTCGTTGGGGTCGTAGGAGCAGGATCACCTATCGGAGGTGGGGGATCTACTCGTATCTCATCAATCGGATCTATAAATCTAGCCACTCGACCTCGTCCACGACTAGTTCGACGACCACGTCTAGCACTCATTTTGGTATATCTCGAGATTACTACATAAGATAAACTTAAGGTTAGATAAACACTTGGAGTCTCGAACATAGTTAAAATCTTAATAACTTTGTGACATGGCCTTAGTAACTCGTTTTGTAAAATATTTCAAAACTGTATTTTCAATGTGGACTCATACACAGTCCGAGGGTTAAAAACCAAAAGCTCTGATACCAATAAATGTAACACCCTAGACCCGGCCTATGCGTTTCGACTAAGTCTAGTGGATCACATTATGATTATTAAAGACATTTTCCGAAATCGTTATTCCATCAATATAAAATCACATTATAAATAACATGAAATTATAAACAAATTATACTATCAAAATCCAACTCGTAAATATAGTACCAATAAATAATAATTTAATTTAAAACATGTATTCAAATTCAAAATCATAATAAACCGAGCAGTAATAGCAAAAGAGTCATCATTATAAAATCCGATATTTAAAATAAGGTCCATGTCACCAAAATAAAGCCAACTTGCAAGATAAAAACATTACAATCTGATTTACTTCAAGAGATATGTTGATCCTCCAAGTGCTCGAACCGAGGTATCTAACCAACAGTATCTGAAAGGGGGAAAACATTTTCAAAAGGTGAGCTAGGCTCAGTGTGTCCCAACATTTCCATAAAATGTCAATAGGTACAAATCATAGTCCAGTAATCTCACAAATTCGTAAAAGAGTTTAACTTTTGAAAATCATAGTTTAAACCCTTTTCTGGTACACCATCAGTAGTTCCCAAAATTATTTTCCATATAGCTTACTTTATGCACATAGCAAAAAGAAAGCCAACTTAAGGATAAGCTCTGAAGCTTGTATCCTTAAGCCCAAGTCAATAAGTCCATATAGCTTACCCTAAGCACACAGCAAAGGAAAACCGACCTAACGAAACATCTTGGGGCCCTCAAGAGTCACATTAGGCCCATATAGCTTGATCAGAGCTATTCCATCGTAATTCAATTCCAAAATTCAATTGCACCGTGACATAAATTCTATAAATCCAAAAACATGGTAATCATATACCATTTCAAAACAAAAATTAGATAGCAGCCATATTCCATAAATTGTCACATTAAATTGGTGCATCCATAAAACAATAACCAATGAATTCGGTGTACCACATATTAAAACCAATAAAACAGTTCAGTAATAAGTAGGGAACACACCTCGACAATAGGTTCAAATAGCAAATCTACTGATTGCTGGTTTCACTACGCTCTGCTACAGTTTTCGAACGCGTGAATAATGGAACACGTGGTTTAACTGATCTAGAAGAGCTGGGTCGAGTTGTTGAACGATCCGGAGAGTCTCTTGTACATTCAAACAATAATAATCTATCAGTCCCAAATCCTATTTAATTGTTCAAAACTAGACTTCTTAAGTATATAAGCATTTTTCGTGTTTGACTATCAATTTGGGGTATTTCGAGTCTGAATTTGGCCAAACGGATTGCGGAATCGGAATCAGGACGTCGAAAAACATAAAGTATGACTTTTCGAAAATTCATATTCTTGGTCAAAGTCAAAGTCAAATACTTTGACCGTCGATTTGGAGGCCTTCGGCTTCGAATTTGACGAAACGGACAGCGGAAACGGATTTGGCACGTCGAAAATTATCAGGATAGGTATACTCGGAAAAGATTAACGGTCGTTTAATGCTCGGTCAAAGCCATTTTAAGTTTTGGTCAAAGAAAGTCAACGGTCAACGGTCGGGTCGGGTCAACGGTCGGGTCGGGTCGGTCGGTCGGGTCAGACCGGTTAAACCGGTTTCCAGCAGCCACTCGCCCTGCGGCGGCGCGTGTGGCGCGTGAGGCGTCCTCCGGGGCCCTAAAAATCCCGGAAAAATTTCTAAAAATTATTTTGAGCGATTTCGAGATACTTACAACGATCGGTTCAAATTTTTGAACGGCGGAGAGCTCGATTTCAAATCGGCCGAATCTTTGACTGCACCACCTCCTCACGCGCCGCCGTCTACGGCGGACAAGGTTGATACCGGTGAACTCGAAACGACACAAGGAACACGATGGTGCAGGAGGTGTCGTAAACTGAGCAACGATCGGCGGTGAATTTGAGATTTTCTCGACGATAGAGCTAAAAAAACGTCGATGCTTTGACTTGAAATTCCCGACGTTTAGCAGCGTTTCGCTTTAATTAATTTAAGGGGATTGTTCCTGACTCGATAACGAACACGATGGTGGTTTCAATTTGACAATCGGATGTCGAACGACATCGGAATCGGATTTGAAAGTCGAGGTGCGGGAGGAGTGAAAGTTTAATAAAAGCTTTTGTGTTTTCTAATTGAAATCAGAAAACACGTTAGTTATAACCAAACCTGTCGACACTTTTAGGGGAAATTCAGGGTTTGGTCCATGAATTTCCTTTACTTTGAAAATGGCATACAAGTTTTCATAAATTATACTTTAGTCACTTAATTTCACCCATTTTCACAATTTACCTCCAATTTCAATTAATATTATTTTGTAAATAGTCGGGTTGTTACATAAATAGAATCTTAAAATATTCAATTTAACTCAAAACATATTATATAAAATTTGAGTTATAAAAAAAAACTAATTAATTCGATTAATTAAAATTCTTTTTACTCGACTAGACTCAATTTGAATATTACCCCTACTAAAGATATTGTTAAAGATCCGACCCAGACAAAATGGGTAACCCGGCGGGGTAAAGTACTTGACCGCAACAACGCTGCACTTTCTTAATTTTTCTTGCTTGTCAACCTCATACAACACGTACCCTTAAAACGCGCTCTACGCCCAATTTCACAAAACCAAAATCCCGTTCACAAGGTAATCACAAAAATCACCAAAGAATAGAAAAGGAAGAAGGAATTTCAATTTCTTTGGGCAGAAAGAATAAAAATCCGAGGGGGAAAAAATCAAACATTGGGTTGATCTCCAATGTCGGATTCAAAGTCTTCAGTTAAGTCGAAAATACTGTCGATGTTGGACTCCGACATGGCTGCCGCGGCTCAACAGCTGATTCAACTAAGCGACGAAAACAACAGTAAATGCTGCAACAGCAATGAAGACAACAAGGGAATCGAAACACAGATGATCAAAAACCAAAGTCAAGATGATATAACTACTTCTGCAAAGATTGAAGAGATTTTTGGGGAAGAAGATGAAATTTCGAGAAAGAAAAAAAGGTATCGATCTATTGAGAGTATTTACAAGGAGACGAAGCGTGTTAAGGTTGGCAACGACAAGAATTCTTGGTATTGAAGATTTCTCTCTCTAGGAATATTAAGGTAATCGAATCTGCAGGTGCAAGAAACTAGCTTCTTGATCATTGATTTATTCTGGGTTGGGGGTCATTAATCATGATCATGAAGCTTAATCAACTCGGTTTTAATCATTTTTTCGATTTAGTTTAGGTTTTAAGTTTTGGGCGACAGCAGTTAGCTTAATTCGGTTCGTATCATTGATTAATATCTTTCGAGAGTGGGATTAAGGAAAACTGTGTATATTTTGTTGCTGAATAAAGGGTAATTTTTTTATGAATGAGCAGAAAGTTGAATGTTGAGCACAGTTTGGCAATGGCTGCCGGCTTCGTTTTTCCATTCATTTGGATTTCTTATCATTTTGCGTTGATTTTTCTGATTCAACATCATCTTCTAGGTGATTCAACATATATTTAATTTTCTTCACTAGTAGTTTTGTTTAATGAAGATTGGATAATATCGTCGTGCTTCACCATGCATGAAGTCCTGATCTAAACACCTGCCCTGGATAAAGAAACAAACATATACTAGAATATGTATACTATTTGATCATTTTTCTTAATTCAAAATAAAATTAAAATATTTATAAGAACGCCATAGGTGCATCTGATTCACCATAGCCATAATGTCCTCCACCGCCATAGGTGCCGCCTCGTACTCGGCCTCTTCATCGACCTCTTCCTCGTAGCTTTTGTGGAGGCTCAGGAACTAAACAACATGAAAATAATTAGATATTTTAAATGTTTTCTTTATATGTTCAATTGATAATTTATTTTTATCTCTTAAAATCTTATATATTCACCCCAAATATTTTAGAAGTTAATCCTCCTAACAGTTATCATCAAGTAAATCTCTGGACTGTAACAACAAGACACGAAACAAAACATCGTAATGCTCAAGAACTGACATCTATTATTTAAGTTTGTGCATGGATATCACACTCTAATAAGAACCCAAAGCAAAAAAGAGAGAACATTGCTTAAGAGTTCATGCATAACTTTATTTTAAGCATTTGGCTTAAGGAAATGACGGGGGCATACCCCCTGTGGGTTCAATCTTTAATATATCATGTTTTGCCTCTTCTTTTTTTTAATATTTTGTGTTCGTTATCCGGTATGTGTCCGGGATTATCATACAAACAATATCATCTTTAAGATTCAAACATACATGCGTGTGTATATAAATATATATGAATTCTCTCTTTAGGAGTAGTGCAGTGTGCCTTTCTGCTACACCCTTGTATAATGTTCTAAACAGCTGTTGGTTTTGCTGATGGTCACAGTTTTGGAGAAACGAGATTGAAGAGCTAAAGAGATCCATAATCACCTTGGAAGCTAGACAAAAGTATGTAACACACGCAGATAGCTATATATTCCATGTTTTCCAAATGTCAAATGTTTTCGTGTTTTTACAGGCACTTATCTGGAGAAGACATCTTAGCATTAGGCATGAGAGACTTGAAACAGCTCGAGCGCCAGTTGAAACTAGGTGTCGAACGTGTCAGCTCAAGAAAGGTACGTAGAGAAGGGTTTACAGACAATTATATGCTCGTCGTGTTTGAATAAACGTCAGATACGAGTATATATCTAAAACAAAAATGATCATAGTATTTTATATCGACATCCTAAATAATGTATAATATCGTACGTATATACACACGCGAACACATATCATTAATACGTATTTTCTGTAATAAATAAAACCGAATTGTTTCGGATCACGCCACCTTGATGAAGAGAAGGGTAAGAAAATTCTTAGAACATGCTCTTTGATCAGTTCTTTAAAGTTATAAAATATACCAATAATATCTAATATAAACGAATCGAATACGTATCCATATCCGAACTTTTATATCATCAGAAAAGCAATTCAAGATAAGGATATCTTGTGTTTCAACGAAGCACAAACAATTGCAAGGGTACAGCACTCGCCTACAGAAAAGAGTGAGACTTTAATATTGTACTTTATATGATGGGATTAATATTCGAAACATTTAGTTTCAAGATGAAGTTAATTATATTTACTGCGAATTTTGAGGTTTAGTTGAAAGAGCTGGACGACGGAGATACCGGGATTGTGGGTGAAAACTCTTGCAGCATGCTTCACCAAAGGTAATAATTAATTAATTATTAAGTAAATAAGTATATTCCATATTTATATTAAACACGAACCAAGTGACTTCCGTTGTTATTCCTTGAAGACATGGGTTCAAGCACCCAAGAATGTTAGGGGTGTGCAGGGATGGACGCATGAATTTGTGTTAGAGGGTACGAATATAAAAAATTATATTAAAAATTTAGAGGTGCGAGATTACAAAATCTCAAGGGTACAAAATCATATAATTCATATAAATTACAAAGAAAATACCTAATAAATAAAAGAATTTAAGATTTCTATGGGGTTTGACTGCACCCCCTCGGTCCATCCCTACTTGGGAGCGTTCAATATCAAAAGGTTAAGAGTTGTCTTTATATTACATTGTAGTTGTCCCAGATTAATAAAAAACCCAGTTTAAAATTTAGAATGATGTTAATATCCAGATATTAAACTGCTGTTAATTTTTTTTATGAAAAAGGAAAATTTTAGAACATAATGAATAGTTGAATGATTATTTGTAATTTTTAATAATCAGTGACTCAACAAAACAACGTCATATAGTTAAGGTACTCAACAAAGCAACATCTTTAGTTGAAGGACCATTTGTATACTTTACCCTAAATTTTAATATGAAAAAGATTTAAATATACTTATTGTTAGGAAATAACCGAGTACGAGTAATTTCCCTATAACCAGATTAGTGAGAATGCGAAATAAAAGCGGAAAAATAATACCCGAAATTGATAACGGAGTTTAGCCAATTGTGCTTACGTCTCCGGACTGCTGCAGATCTTTTACTAAGAGAGAAAATTTACAGGTGTTTATAAAACACTCACAACTCATAAGAAAACTCTCTAGTATTGGAGAAAGAAATGATTTGGGATTTTGGGATGATTTTGAAGCTAAATGAGCTAGGACATTTATAGTTGAAGTTTAGGGATTAATCTTTGAAAATACCCTAAAGTATAATGACTAAATGTGTGATTATCCCTTGCACATTTTCAACAAAAGTTTGCTATAGCCGCCCCATTTGCTTTTGAATTCACGGTGGCTGCCAAATATTGTTGAAAAACAATATTTGACTTTTCAACTCCAGCAATCTCCCACTTGAAGACTGATTTTAATCTGTCTTCACACCTCAATCAATGCAGCAGCATTTCTGGTCTTGTTATTCTAGAATGCCAACTGAAGCTGAACACAACTTCAGCTTGTCCGTAGTCACCGTCTTTGTCAACATGTCTTCCAGATTTTGAGCTCCACTAATCTTTTCAAGTTTCAAAATCCCATCTTCTAGAAGAGATCGGATAAAATGATATCTCAATTGTATGTGCTTCGTTCTGGAATGAAAAGACGGATTCTTCGCTAGATGGATAACACTTTGACTGTCGTAATACAAGACACAATACAAGACATTGTTTTCTTGTTTCTTTCCTAACTCTTCCAAGAAACTTTGGAGCCAGACCATCTCCTTGCTGGCTTCTGTAACAGCGACATATTCTGCTTCGATTGTGGAGAGCAACTATCTTCTGTTGTTGAGAAACCCAACTCATTGTGGTTCCTCCTAAAGTATAGATATACCTTGTAGTGCTCCTTCTGATGTCAACATTTCCGGCTAAGTCAGCATCTACATAGCCTGTCAGTATTGTATCTCCACCTTTGAAACAAAGTGCTTTGTTTGTGGTACCCCACAGATATCCGAGGATCCATTTGACTGCTTCCCACTGTACCTTGCTCGAATTATTCATGTACCTGCTAACAGCTCACACTGCTTGAGCAATATCTGGTCTGGTACAAACCATGGCATACATTAGACTTCCAATTGCTGAGGCATATGGCACCTTCACCATGTGTGCACGTTCTTCCTCCGTCTTTGGTAACTATTCTTTGGAGAGTCTAAAATGAATACCTAAAGGTGTACTTACTGGTTTAGCATCTTGCATGTTAAACCTGGAGAATACTTTGTTGATGTACTCAGCCTGTGATAACATCAAAGTCCCCGACTTTGTGTCTCTTTTGATCCTCATCCCAAGAATCTGCTTTGCAGCGCCTAGATCTTTCATTGCAAATTGCTTCGACAATTTTTGCTTCAAGTTTATAATCTATTGCATGTCTGAGCCTGAAACGAGCATGTCATCAACGTACAACAATAAAATAATGAAGTTGTTGTCGAACTTCTTGATGTAGCAACAATGATCTGCTTGACATCTGGTAAAACACTACTACCCATGAAGCTATCAAACTTTTTGTACCACTGTCTAGGAGCTTGTTTTAAACCATACAAGCTTTTCATTAACCTGCATACTAGATTTTTCTTGTATTCCTCTATGAAGCCTTCTGGCTGCCTCATATAGATTTCTTCCTTCAAATCACCATGAAGGAAAGTTATCTTTACATCTAACTGCTCAAGATATAGATTTTCTGCAGCTACAATTTTCAACACCAGTCTGATTGTAGACAGTTTCACGACTGGAGAGAAAATTTTATTGTAGTCAATACCTTCTTTTTGCTGAAAAACTTTGACAACCAATCTTGCTTTGTAGCGTTTGCTTCTATCATGCTCTTCTTTGATCCTGTAAATCCACTTGTTGTGGAGCTCTTTCTTGTTTGGTGGTAATTCAGCTAATTCCCACGTCTGATTTGACATAAGCGAGTTCATCTAATCTTTTATGGAAGACTCCCACTTGACTGAATCCTCCACTTGCATTGCTTCATCATAGCACTCTGGTTCACCATTGTCAGTCAGCAACAAGTAGTGTAAAGAAGGAGAATACCGTTGGGTTGATTTAGGAATTCTGGAGGAGCGTCTCAGTTCTGGTGTGCCTGGTTCTTCTTGAACTGCTTCAGGATTGATATGAACATCATTTCCAGAAATCTCCTCGAACTCAGCAAATTCCTTTGTTTCAGCTTCGGTATTGGAGCTACTTGATTCTATGGTTGACATGTCTTTGTACATCACATTTTCATTGAAAATGACATCATGCTTCTGATGATCTTTCGATTTTCGTAGTCCCAAAATCGGTAACCGAACTCATCACCACCATAACCAACAAAGACACATTTGTTGGACTTGACATCAAGTTTACTTCTTTCAGCATAATTTATGTATACATAAGAAATACAAACAAACACTCTTAAGTATGAAAGGTTTATTTCTTTCTTGCTCCAAGCTTCCTCTGGTATTCCACCATCCAAGGGAACTGAGGGCCCACGGTTGATCATGTAAGCTGCAGTGTTGATAGCTTTAGCCCATAGCAATTTGGGCAATCTGATATGTATCCTCATGCTTCTGGCACGTTCATTCAGAGTTCTGTTCATGCGCTCTGCTACGCCATTATGCTGCGGTGTTATGGGATCTGTTGTCTCCATCTTGATCCATTGTTAGCGCAGAAATCTTTGAATCTACTGTTTTTGTACTCTCATCCATTGTCATACCTAAACCGCTTGACTTTCAAACCAATCTCATTTTTCACCATGGCCTTCCATTTTCTAAATGTATCAAAGACTTCTGATTTCTTCTTCAGAAAATAAACTCACATCTTCCTTGTAGAACCATCGATGAAGATGACATAATATAGTGAGCCTGTAAGAGATAGAACTGGAGATGGTCCCCATACATCAGTATGAACCAACTCTAATTTTTCTGCCTTGGGTGTATTGCTAATCTTTGCAAAACTGACTTTCTTTTGTTTGCCAAAGATGCAATCCTCACATAGTCCGACATCTACATTCTTTAGATCTGACAGCTTCCCTTTTGACAAAAGCGTCTTCATCCCTTTCTCGCTCATATGGCCAAGCCTTTGGTAATCTTCCATTCACAACCTGGAAAAGTTGTACTATATCTTTCTACATCAAGATGTCCTACAGAAATCAAAATTCTTTTGAGGCCAAGAATATGTCTCACTCCTTTCAGCTTCCAGGTGGTATGGTTTGGCAACTTTAATCGGATGTCTCCTTTTTCGACGATCTTCAAGGTTTCATCATCAGTTAGATGAACCTACCCAAAATCACCACTGACATAGTTCTCCATTATTTCTCGGCATAAGGTAGAGTGTAAAGATGCCCCTGAATCCAAGATCCATGATTCAATCAGACTGTTGACGCTTAGAATTATGTCATCACCTGTCTCCTCTGTCATATTGGCAGATTCCTGTGTGTCGGTATATTTCTTCAGTGCTCGATAATCTCTTTTAAAGTGACCCTTCTTGTCACAATTATAACAGGTAAAATCTTTCTTTCTCGTTCTTGATTTTCTCCTTCTGGATTTCGATCTGCCACGATTTGAATTTCTTTCTGAAGTTCTCCCTCTAGACTCCGTGTGCAAGGCTGAGGAGGTTGATGCTTCACCCGATTCTCTCCGTCAAATTTTTTCACTCAATACCAGATCCCGAACATCGTCGAATTTTAATTTGTTGCTTCCCGACGAGCTGCTGACTGTTGTAACAGCAGCATTCCAACTGTCTGGTAGAGATGATAAGAGAATTAAAGCTCGAATTTCATCATCGAATTCAATTTCCACGGAACTCAATTGGGTTGTGATTGTGTTGAGTTCATTCAGGTGTTGAGCCATTGATGCCCCTTCCGCCATCCGCAAATTGAATAATCGCCTCATTAAGTGAACTTTATTTGAGGTCGATGGCTTCTCATACATACTGGAGAGAGCCGCCATAAGACATGTCGTGGTCTTTTCCTTTGCTATGTTGAAAGCACATTACAGGATAACGTCAGTCAGATAACTCCGAGGGCTTGTTTGTCGAGAAGAGCACAGTCTTCATTCTTAATGCCCTCTGGTTGCTTTCCTGAGAGATGTTGATATAGATTTTTCTGGTACAGAAAATCTTCAATCTGCATCTTCCAAAAGCCAAAGTCCGCACCATCAAACTTTTCAATTTTCACATTCCCTTCGTCTACAGCCATCGCTCCCACTCGAATCTGGCTTCGTTTGGATCGTTTATGATAATTCTTGTGAACCACCGTGTATTAGAACACCTTCGTCGACAAGCTCGTATCGCCGACAAAATTTTTACTATTCATAAACTTTACTATTCACGTGAATAGTAATGAATAGTAACCTCACAAAAAATTGATAAAATTCACAACCAAAAGCTCTGATACCAATTGTTAGGAAATAACCGAGTACGAGTAATTTCTCTATAACCAGATTAGTGAGAATGCGAAATAAAAGCGAAAAAATAATACCCGAAATTAATAACGGAGTTCAGCCAATTGTGCTTACGTCTCCGGACTGCTGCAGATCTTTTACTAAGAGAGAAAATTTACAGATGTTTATAAAACACTCACTACTCACAAGAAAACTCTATAGTATTGGGAGAAAGAAATGATTTGAGATTTTGGGATTATTTTGAAGCTAAATGAGCTAGGATATTTATAGTTGAAGTTTAGGGACTAATCTTTGAAAATACCCTAAAGTACAATGACTAAATGTGTGATTATCCCTTGCACATTTTCAACAAAAGTTTGCTACAGCCGCCCCATTTGCTTTTGAATTTACGGTGGCTGCCAAATATTGTTGAAAAATAATATTTGACTTTTCAACTCCAACACTTATCTTACTGAATTGGAACATTGCAAGATCGTTGAAGAAGACCACTTAACGAAACGGATCTGCCACCATGATTTGGATATATGCATCGGCCACCGCTGTCACTGCCACTCTAGGATCCCACGCGCCGACAGTGACACAAACCTTGCTGCAATAGGTTATTTCCATTACAAAATGTATAGAATTATGATTCTGTATTTTTATTAATATATTCGTAGACAAAAGCTTAATCAATTATGTGAAGATTCCTTGCATTTTTTGGATGTTGTTTGAACTATTTAAATCTGATATGCGTTTGATATATTTTCAAATACAACTTATTATATTAATTCAACTAATTCAATTTTAATCTGAAAGCATATATTTTATTTTAGTATTTAATTTAATTATTTTTTTAATACTTAAACTATCATTCAAACCCAAAAAAATAAAAACAAAGTCTAAACTCTAAATCCTAAAAAAAAAAAGCGAAAAGTGAATTTCCAATTCTATGTACCCGAATTATAGTTTTAGCTCTCATTCAACAAAATAAACCAAATTTATTGTGTTGCAAAGGTTTCAGATGTTCTACTGCCATTGAAATGGAAGAGTTTGAGGGGCTTCACTTCCAGATGATTCACCAGAGTCCATGTGAAACATTCATGTCCCGTGGACCGCAGTCTCCCTTCCATTGGCAACAACCGAACCCATGGGCTCTATAACGTAGTTTTGATGGCTAGGACCTAAGGATCGCACCGAGGGGAATGTCGGCTGCACCGTGTTACTCGAACCGATCCCAAATGTATGCAACAGGGGCGATGATAGAAGAGAGACAGCACAATCTGAATCACACAACATACTATGGCAGCTCCCATTGCCTTCCAAGAAAGGCGCAACAGCCCCTATAACCGGCTGGAAAACGGAAGCTTTCGCAGGTGTTTGATCCTCCCCTTGTAGGAACATGTATTGCTTACCTTCCTTGTAGTTGCCTGAAGAGGATCCAAGAACAAGGCTTTGTTTCACAAGTGAGTTTAACAACTGCTTTGGGTTAAGACATCGAGACTCAGTTGACGATTCGTTAACTTCCAGCCAAGTAGTTTTCACCACGGTGGTGGTCGGATATGCTATCACACTAGAAAATGGCAACATCTGGGAACCTGAAATGTGGAATTCGTATTGATTAAAACAAAGGAAAATCACACATAAAACAAGTGCATCATGGTCATAGACTCATAGCTGACCTTGGTAATCGGATAAATAGCTTCGAGGACGCGAGAAGGGATCTGGTTTAGGCTTCCTTCGTCTCCGGTTATGTCGGTCGAGACGTGTCCTGCAGCTTCTCTTCCCATCATAGTGAAACCTACAAATCACAGCAAAGTGTCTACATTAATTCGAATCTCATCGGTTTAAATTACGTCGAAGATCCGAAAAGTAGCAGCTAACAAAGGAAAAGAAAGGGAATACCTGCTGCATTGTTGAGAGAATCTTTGCTTTAGGCCATTGATCATAACTTGTGCAGTCTTGGAATAGAGCTCACACACCTTATGGCGCCTATGATAGTCTCTACATTCACTAAGGTCCGAATCGCATTCATCGACAAGGCATGAAACAGGACGAGTCCCGATGTTATTACTCGATCGAGTCTTCTTTGAACTCGAAGAATCCACATGACCAAGCATCAAATCGACTCTGAAATCCCCTCTGGAACCACTTGGTCCATTGCCATTGATTGCATCTATGATTGTTTCAGTTTCCTCAATGAAGTCACTCAAATCCCAAGAATTAGGTTTCATGTTCCACTCCATTAAATAAAAAAAAATCCTTCAGTTTCCACTGTTTATGCTCAACTAATGGGAAACTTTTCAACAATTAAATAAGGGGGGGGGGGGAAGTAAACAACAGGACACAGTTCCAAGAACATTGGAAGCAGAAAAAAAAATAAAAAAGAGAGAGAAGAAGTAATAAAAAAAAACAAATAATTGTTGGTTGTAAGAAAAAGGGTGCTTACAGTAGCAGACAAACAAGAATTATTTGCTCTTGTCGAGCCATCGATTCGACATCATGGACTGCATTAACATACAATTAAAGTAGCTAAAAAGCACGAGAAAATCAGCAGAAAAGATGAATAATTGCATGAAAGGGAAAGGGGTTTTTCCTAAAACAGCTTTATGTTGATATTTTTTTATGCATAATCATATATATATATATATATATATATATCATATAGATTTAGAGGTTGTTTGGAAGATGAGATGATGTTGAGAAAGAAGGGAGGATAGGACAAATGTGTTTCACATTTCATAGCATGTCTTCTCCTACCTTTTTCAAAAGAAAGTTTTCTTCTTTTTTTTTTTACAAAAATTATAAAACTAAGATTTATTTTATCAACAATTTTCTTGTGAGCCTCATGCATTTTTATTAATTTTTATTAAATTAAATTAAATTTAATTTAAATGTTATATTTTATTAAAATATAATAATTATATTGTTTAACTCGATGATTAGACGTTAGACTAAGTTCCGTCATCACTGTGCGTTGGCAACCGTCTGAACTTCACTCTCCTTTTGAATGAGAAGCTTATGAGAATTCAATCTTCTGAAGATTGTCGTAAGATTTTTCGCTCTTCTCCCCTATGCCAAAGTGTCTGCTCTATGTTTCTTTTTCAACTCACATATTTCGAGATATTTCTGCCTCATACCGTCCAACTCTTCTTCAAGACGACTTCGATTGATGAAATTTTCGTTGACTAACTCATTTAAAGTTTAAATTACATGATTAAAATATAATAATTAATTAATCAAAAAATTAAATTATTTCAATATATATATATAACATGTTTTGAACACGCTTTTTTAATAATCTTAGATGATCGTAAGATAATATTTATTTTGATTTTTTAACGATTGACAATACATGTATACCTTGTAAATACAATTATTTAAACACAAGTTTTCAAAGGAGAATAACATTCCTCTTTATTATTGAAATCATTCATCATATGATACCACTGAGGCCGCTTCATTATATGATACATGTAAACAAATTGCCATATCTACCTTGAATAAATGTAAAATACAATGATACATAAGCATTTAACTTCAATACATTTGCAGCGAATTTAGAATTTGCTAGATGCCTAGACCTTACAACAAATAAATCTAAACCAGGGTTGAACAAAAACGCAGAGGGGGAAATTCAGAATGGGTTATTCATATCCATGTAATCACTGAAGATGGAGGAATTGGCTTCCCCATTCTGTTGGTGACTACAATTGGTTTCATGGTTTTGAGGTCTATCGGCAGAAGAAGAAGATACGACATTATTTGAATGGTAACCAACCTGGTGGACTGACTGGTAGTGCTGAAGTCTCCCTCGAATCGGGTTCGGGATTGCATTTGAGATTTCCAGGTTCTTTCCTATATAATCCCCGGAACGAGCTCCCTGTCCAATTGTTGATGCTGAAATTGGGGTAGATAAAAGAGGAGCGCTAGAAGCATTCATGTGTGTCACAGTTTGAGGGTTCTGGTGAAATGATGGCCTGGGGGACATTGGAGACTCTTCTGCTCCATACTCAAGTTCATTCTACAGAAATTTGAAAGGAAAGACAAATTATCAAGAAAATACTTAAAAGGCTTCATCACCAAACATATTCATCAAAACAAATAAGCGCAAGACATCACCAAAGATACCTGCAAATGAGCTACTATATCAGTTGTCGTCACCCTTGCCCCTTCTTCTTGCTGCCTCAAAATCCATTGAAAAAGTTTTTCCTGTTGGAAGGGTTTATGTAATAGATTCAATACCCAAGGCCAACCAGGAACACATGGAAACGCAAATATAACACAGAAATATGCATAAATATTTACCATTAAACCTCTCATGGGGAAGCATTTCACTATTTCAGTCATCATCAGCGGAATAAAAGCAATTATAAAGTAGGCTCAAATCATCCATAACAGACACTAGAGACAACTTAGAGCAAGAATACAGGGCCAATAGAATAATAAAAGCAAGGAGAGAATCAACCATAAGCAAAATTCACGATAAATTAACACACCAAAAGAACCACAATAGGAGTGAAGAACTAGAAGCAGATATATAGTGAGAACACATGATCAAGAGTTTAGGAAATTCAAGACTGTATCCCTTTCTGATACAAACAAAAAGACACAAAAGGGGCTTGCTTGCTTGCCAACAGTCATCGAATTTGCAAGTCATAAGCTATGACTCCATTTTGAGAAGCTCAAAGTCAAAGGATTCACTGTAAAACTTCAAAATAGACAGTGTTATCATAAATTTGTTTGAGGGCTTTAAATTCAGAGATGGACCAAGGGGTTCTGGGGCCTGGGGGTGCAGTAATTCTTATATAGTTTAGGTATTTTCTTTGTATGTTCTATTGATAATCTAATTTCGCATCTCTTGACATTTTGTAATTTCGCACCCCAAAATTTCTAATATAAATTCCTAAGTTCGCACATCTAACATAAAATCATGCATCGGTACCAGACTTAATACCTCTTCTTAATTGCTTAAGTTTGACCTATGTTATTCTGACTCATCAATTTTCACAATGTATCTGGCACCATTTTCCTAAGTCCTAACACAGGCTCAGATAGGGGTACGAGAATATGACCCATCTAGGAGCCTCCAAATACATGACAATCCTGAGAGAGAAATAACCATATCTGATTCTTACAAGAAATTAACATAAATTTCCAACTTGGAGGGAAAGGAAAAAAATTATCCCAAAGAAACAAAGCTAACATCTTCTCACCAGATTACAACAAAATTTCAAAAGTAAACTTGCGATTAAAAACAAACATAGTTTAATTCTTTCTTCCAAAACACAATCATATTTCTTATGAATTTTCCGTTCCACACAATTCTGTCCCAAATTATGGTACGAAATTCAATCATCGAAAATTAGCAATTCATTTAGAACAAATACGTCCTACTTAATAAACAGATACAGCCCTATTGAGATATAAGATAAAGGGGGGGGGGAAATAAAGGAATATATTGGAATAAAACACAAAGAAAAAGAAGCTAACCAGGGCGTGACGTTCGCCGGCCTGGAAAGAGATACGCTGGTGGTTCATGGCCTGAGAATAAAGCTGCGAAAGCGAGTTAGCAGCGCTACAGAAGGTGTTGTACATGCTCCGATCCATCTCGTCCAGCCGCGTAGCTTCGGATTTTCTCTTCTTCGACATGATTCAATTTTTATGGTTATTTTTGGGGTAAGAAAAGAAAACTAAATTAAACCCAGAATCAGAAAGGAGGAGGAGAAAACAGAGAGATGCAATTCAATCAAATTGAAACGAAAAAAAAATATTTGGGGAGAATTTCAGAAACAATAAATATATGGAGAGAGTATATGCGAAATGGTAAGAACTGGACATAGGAAGAAGGTTGAATATTTGGCTATATTGCCACATGGATTACACGTGGCTGGCCCTCTTGGATTAGTGGACCCACCTTCGTCTGTATTAATGGATTAATTAGTTAATCAGTTAATTTCTTTATGGTAAAATGCGACTCATGTCACTCAATTATTATTTAGATTAAAAATATGTCGCATTTGTTCTAAAAGTTATTGTTTAATTATTCAATTAAAATATTATTACAAATAGGTCGCTCACATGTTAAAAATAAAACGAACATCTATTAATTTGACATAATAATAATTTTAGTCTCAAAATATTCTACATTCTATCAATTTTGTCATTATTCAAAATAATTTAATAAATTAATCATTCATATTTAAAAATTCTATCAAGTTAATTCTTTTTGTGATACTATCACCACGTCACATCAAACGAGTCTATCAAATCAAAATAATAGTTAAATAATTGAATTCTACCATAAAACAACATCAAGTTACTAGTAAAAACCTTTCATACGTGACTGATCAAGCTCGATTTGTAGCCTTATAAAATACTTATGTAACAAAATTTTTTACTTGAATATGAGATTGATCGATAACCGGTACAACATGCACTCGATCTTTGAAAGCAATAATAAAATATGGAAGATGATATCCTCTAAGTAGTATAAGATCTAAATTCGAAATATTTTACCTACTTTCGTTAGTGGTGTATCACACATAATAATAAATACAATGCCCTCAATAGTAAAATTCAACATTATACAAGATATTGAGAGCAATTTTAAACAAACATAAAAATAATACGTTTTTTTAGAGAAATAACTAGCATTTAGGAGAATAAAAAGGACTAAATTAGTGGATTTTTTAATATGGGATATTATATTTATTTAATTATTTTGAATTATGATCAAATTATTGAAATATATTAGGTTTAGAGAACGGAGACTATAACTGTTATTATACTATGTCATTTTACTATTTCATCTAAAATTTAACGACTTAATAACTTGTTTATAGTAAAGTTTTAATTGAGTAATTAAATTACATTTTTTTAAAATTTTAATTTATATGTAACTAAACTAATAATTGAATTTTTATTGTACACTAAAGTTTAGGTAAGGGATCCTCCAGTCCAGGGTCAGGGCATACCTAAGACACAATTGGGATTTACATAGGATTTTATAGATTGCCCACCAAGAGTGACGGTGGTGGGATTCGAACTTGACATTATAAGCTCAAATTTCTAATCTCGATCACTTGTACCAACACTCATTAACAAACTAATAATTGAATAAACTTAAGTACATTTTACTCATTTATTAATTTTCTAATCAACTTTTATTTACAGAATTTTTACTCTCTTTTTTTTGTCAACCATTAATTGAGTGTACGGTGTACCACTATCTAGTTTTTAGTTAAGGTAATCTTGGTTGTTTTTTATTTTTGGTCCACATTAAGACATAATGTTATTATTTTTCCAAATTAATCCCCACCAGTAACAATGTCATTTAAAAATTATTTGAAATATAATTTAAAGATTAAAAAAAATGGTTGTCCCTTTTTCCTATATGTATGAGGTAAGGGGGAGGTAAGATAGTAGGTTACCCCCAACACAGGTTGAGAGCAGCTTCCGTAAGAAATCTCCGAATTATGAAATACCCTCCGTGGGACTCGATCCCACGACCTCAAGGTTAAAAATCTTGTGCTCTACCAACTGAGCTGGATGGTCATTTCTATAATTTAAAGATTAAATTATACTTAAATCACATCTTTAATTATATAATAAAACAAAAATGATTTTAAGGAAGTCAACCCAAATGATTTATAAAAATTTAACTCATTTGAAATTAGTTTCTAAGAAATTCCTATTTCAATCCCTCCACTTTTACCAATCATTATGATATCAATGGCAAGGTTTTTATCCGACTTGACTCGACCTTTGGATAGAGTTTCCCATGAAGTCAATGATTTTAAGCATATGTAGTTTCCTGCCTTAACCGTGTTGACGGAAATGAATGTGCGAGACCCGTTCTTCCACAATATTCGAAATCCTCCGATAAGTAGGATTTAATTTTTTTTAGTAGCTTCCCACCTTGATACATTCTTGGTTTTAAATTGGAGGACCGTGGTTGTCATAAACTCTACTTTCTGGAATGCATGTGCAAGTTCAGTAATGAATTTTAATAGATCTTGCTTGCTGGTAATCATGACTGCTGCAAACGATAACGCGATGATTTCTGCTTGCAGTTTTTCATAATCCTATCGTGCACCATTGCGATTGGGACGAACCTCAGCCAGTTCATCTGCATCGGCCGGTTTACAGCAGTATCATTCCCAATGCTTGGCCATATGAAGACTATTCTTGTCCTGATTTTGAGGTTTTCTTCGGGAAAGAAGGTCTTAATCTACATGTAATTCTGGGTATGGCCATTGCAGTAGCAGGAATGATCTGGTATGGTAATGCATCCTCCAAGCCCGGAGGAAAAGAGCGTTGGACTTATTCACCTCCAAGCAACAAATCACTAAAACCAGACAATTTATTCGACTCCGCCGAGACAGTCGAGAAAGTTTAACGATTCAATTACAAGTTTAACGATTCAATTACAGGTTTAACGAAGCTAAAGGTAAAGATTTAGAGGAGAAAAACTAAGTCGATAAAATTAAATGGTTTGGACGGTTAAAAACAATCTCTTCCCCGTGTGTTTTATGCTCACTTTGAAACCAAGTTCTGGCAATGAATGAAGTGGATTCATCTCGTTGTTTGCCGTCGTATTTGACTGAAAAAAAATAAATAAATATTGAATTTAAACTTGAATGGTTAAAATATATATATATATATATATATATGTAATTTAACTTTTAAAAAATTAAATATAAATATAAAATAAAATGATCTAATAATGGCGTCATGCCGGCAAGTTAGTTCAAACACTGTTGCATCTGTGTCCCTAAAGTCAAGCAGCAGCCTAACATTTTGGGTTAAATTCATGGCTGGGAACAGCTGCAAGAAATTATATATTAGCTGTTTAATATATGTATTATTAAATTTATTTTTCAATATTCAATTTTATAAATTTTAAATAACAATTGTTTAAATAATTGGTATGAATTAAGGCGGTAAATTCTAAGGTTCATATTTAACTAGCCATCTTATACAACCAAAAACCCCTGTTCTATGATTCGGCAAGGCAGTTATGACATATAATAATATACTATTTTATTAATAGTTTATTAATTACAATTTAATATATATATAATATATATATATATATATTGTCTAACTAGACGAAATATTGGACTTCATTTAAGTGATAATACACTCTTATACACTCAAACTTAAGTTAGAATCCCCTCAATTATAATTGTTCGTTTTCTTTGATTTTCATCAATAAAATAATTTTTAATAAATTAACTGAGGGATTTGATCCAACAGTTAGTACTCTAACACCTCTCCCTTTTCAGGTTTGATCTCACTTCAGTTTTAATTTTTTTTCTCTAGTTAGATGGTGAAATATTTCGGTATTGTTAGTGTTACCGTCTGATTTGAAGAATAGATTTATTAAATTTAATTTAAATTATAATTAAATCGATATATACTATAAGTAATAAGAATGAAATGTATAATTATATAAATTTATTTAATTATAACATTATTGTTTACGTTAACTGTTAACAACAAATTATTTAATTATATTTTTTAACAATTAAATAATATAATTAATAAAATTAATAACTCATCAGTCAACTTTAGAACCATCCCAATTACTTAACTATTCAAGTAATTTCCCCTAAATTTAATAATTTGAGTTCGAAATTCTCAAATTAATCCTGCATATATTTAATAGAGGCTTTTTTATTTATCTAAAGTCACCCTCTAAAAAATAATTCACAAATTATTTTAAATTATTTCTCACTTGGACACTTTTTTAACTAAAAACGTGCCCTTGTTTATGTTGTAGAAAGCATATCAGAGTTTGTAAATGTTATACCAAAAAGAAAAAAAAAAGAAAAGAAAAAAAAATAATGCAATAAGTGATTGATTTAAATATAAAACTTAAACATTTAAAAAAAAGCTATCTAAACAATATGAAATTTGAGAATATCGTGTAAAATATTTTGACTTCAAATTGTCAACACATATATTGAATTCGATCAAACTTACGTCAAAATGATAGTTAAATGAAATTTAGACGATTATTGTTACCTTATGAAATATTTGAAATTTTACATTAAAAATTTTAATTATTGTAATAATATAAATCTGATTAGGATTAAAATGTGTATCTTTAGCATAATAGATGAATAAAATAAGTTAAATTGAATAACAGTAATTTGTTTCATTCTCTATCGCCGTCAATTGATAGCAAAATGATTAGGGGTAGGGGGGCTCTCCTTTCATGTCTTAATCTCTGTCTCTTTCTTGCTTCCTTTTCCTTTCCTCCGTATTTCCCGTCGATAAAAGTGTTTTGGATACGATTTTAATCAAGATTTTGGCTTTATCAGTAAATTACTTTTTAGGGAGTGTTTGATTTATGAAATATAATATTATCTCTGAAAATAAGATTATTAGAATGTTATATTATCTTATAAATTACTGAAAATGTTATATTATTGTATTTTATTTGTTTGACACTAATGTATGATTACATTGTTTGATTAAAGGAATAAAAGATTACTAGAATGCATATACTAAATATTCCTTATGATATTTTTTTACCAAGTTTGAATTCCAAATATTCAAATGAAAATATTTATATAAAATTTCATATAAAATATATTATTGTATTATTTTCAATTTATATATTTTTTATTAAATTTAAATTTATAAAATTTATATAAATTTTTTACAAAATTTAAAATATAAATGGATAGATTAAAATAGTAAATATGCCATAAGTATGAGTATTTTTGAAATAAATCTTTTGTTTCAAGGGCATTTTAGTCCAAGTTGAAGGTAAAAATAAATACCTAAGCAAAGAATGAGATTAGCATT